GCGGCGTGAGGACCCCGTGTCCCTGCGCGCTCTGCCAAGAGGACGCTGATTCTCCCTGGGTCTATTAAAATCCAACTCCTGCAAGTAAATCTTAGCACGGTTGTGAGTTGGAGTAGAAAACAATAAAACAAGACTCCAAAAATAGCTCTGATTTCCCTTCCTTTGCACAGCAGCACCCTGCGCACAATGGTGGGGCGGGCGTTCCCCGGGAGGCACGGGGGCCCATCCGACGCCGCCTCCCCGGCACGGCGGTCCCGGCGCCCGCTTCGTCCTCCCACAGGTCCCCCGGCGGGGTCAGCAGTCGCCGAAAGCGACGCCAGGGGTCTGGAGCCGGGCAGTGGGGTAAGGACCTGGTGCTTTGGTCAAAATTACTGGCTGCCCGGCGTCTTTACAGATCTTGTGTGGCGTTCGGGTGCTGAAACCACCGAAAGGTTTGGTGTTTTCTGAGCAGGCTGTTGGTTTCCGAGCAGGGCTTTGTTTCCGCCTCCTGCAACCCTCAGCAAACTGGCCCGGGAGAGTTTTTTGGAGCAGGAGCCCGAGAGATGAGATTCTTCCGTGGCCGTGATGGAATTGCTGTGGTTGCTGCAGCGTAACGGGGGATTTAGCACGTGGTAACTTGTCTGTGGGGTCTGTCACCCCACGTTTCCTCCCCAGCTCACCCGGGACATGCGTTTATTCCTGTCGTCACTGCGAAGCCCTTTTTTGGCATCCTTCGCTGCGTCACGCTCCTATATCTCGCATCTAGCTCAGACCTCTCGCTTTCGAAGGCTGGTTTTGCGACATAGCTATGGCGTGCTCTCTAATCTTCTTAGCTGGTTGTGTGTTTGTGGGTGTTGAGGGCATTGGAGACAGACAATGAAAGCTAATTTAGTTCTTGATTATCACCGTGAATGACAATCATAACTAATCTTGACAGGGAAGAAAATCTCACTATCTCACTAGCGTTTGCTCTGTTTGCAGGGAAGTGCGCTCAAAAATAATAGAACAGATAAAGAAGGGATTTGTTCTCGATATTACTGAGCCGTGTGCAGCAGAAACCTGGTCCGATCTAGGTGGGATTGCGAGGGTAGGGGGGTACTGTGCCCCGCTGGACCGGAGAAGTGGTCTCCATCGCTCGTTCCTGCATCCAAAAATACGTCTGAAATGGTGGCAGCACCGACTGCTTCAAGGGAAGGTTTCGTACCCCTCGATACAGGTCTTGATGGAGTAACCCCCACCGGAGACAGCTTCGTGCTGACGCTCGTGGGGAGTGACTCGTGCCTGGTGTGTGGGGTAAAAGGCATTTCCCTCGGGAGATTAAACTCTTTATCTCTTCTTGGTCTGAAGTCTAATTTTGTGTATCGAGTTGGGACAGAAAAAGCTGGTTCTGCTTCGGAAAGGTCCAGAACGGTCTGTAAAAAGGAGCAGCAGCTGCATGTCCTGTCTTTCCTCCTCCCACCTCTTAAACACACCGTCTTCCCGGTAACGTTCCTGAATTCACCCCAGCCTTTCCGGGCTCCATCCCTGGCTTTCCTGCACACGTTTTTCAGAGCGTTTTACTGTGGGTCAGCATCTCTCCCCCTCTGACGAGCAGGGCAGGAGGAGGGGGAGCAGATTCACCCAGTTAAAGCTGTAGATTAGACCTGGGAATAATTCGGGTCTCCTGATTGCGCCTTTCAGCCTGTGCTCGGTGTGCTCAATAAGGCTGGCGTTGGCTCTTTGAGTGAAAAACTGCAAATGTATCTTTTTTTTTTTCTGGAGAGATAACAGCAGTGGGTAAATGAAGAACCTTCGTGTGCTGGGTTTTCCATTAAGCGTACAATTAGATAAATGCAAGAGCCTTTTTATCTACCCTGGTTTAACACTTCTGCAGTATATTTAAACGGAGCTCTACGCATGCCTAGGAATGGGTGCGAAGACTGAAGCTGGAAAAATTTAAACCCATTTCCGCCACCTGCGCTCTCCGCTCCTGCTTTGTTCGGCTCAAGATAACGAAGCAAACAGGTCAGTCCATGGAAATGGCTCCTGGTGGGGCAGAGCGGTTTTTTTTTGTGCTGGACGTTGGTGCCCGGTGTGTTGCGGTGCCTTTTCTCGGTACCCATCGTTTCCCTCCCTTGTTCACCAGTCTGAACGCTGGTGAAGCAGTGACAGACGAAATATAAGGCAGGGGGAGAGTTTCCTTTTACTGGGATTCAAACCTGTGCTTGCAAAATGTGAGCTGCAGTCCGAAGCGTCATTGAGGGTTCTCGTGAACCCCCGTAGCCAAGGCTGCAGTTGGACCGGGATGCCGTTTCGAAGAGCTGGACTTCTCCGGAGGAGCATCTCGTGACAGTGGTTTTCAGCGTGTGGTCTGCAGAGTCCTCAGGGGCTCATTGACGTTGCTCAGAGCTCTGCTGGGAAACCAAAACTGCTGTCACAGCCTTGAACTTGGTCGTCAGCAGCTCGAACTGAGCAGAGGAGAATCTGGGTCTACAAAAGGAAGAGATAAGAATCGTTGCTTTGATGTTGGTCACAAAGGTGACGCGTAAAAGCCCAGCTCCGTGCTAGCACTGGGACTTGCGGTCCGGCAGCGCTGTCCATCTCTGGGCTTCTCAGGGTGGTTTTGCGATGGTTCGGGGAAGGGAAAACCAAGGAGGCCTTGACCTAGATTGTGTCTCCTATTGCTGGTATAGAAGCTGATTGCAATTAACTGCTCCTGGGTTTCCAGAGTGGATTTGATACAGATTTGGTTGCGGAAGTGTCCAAAATATTGTTCCTTTTTCAGCACGACTAACAGCTTTCCACTGTTGAGTCAGTACTTGTTTGCTTTTCAGTAGTATTTAGTTTTTAACCTGCTGGAATGTTAACGTTCTTTGTCTTCGTTCAGGGTGCTTCAGAAGTGTTAATTTGCAAGGACTCCTTGTTGTCATGAACAGCAATCATGCTGTTTGCCAGAGCAGAGCCTGTCAATGTGCACAGGGCCGTTAAAACTTCCTTAAAATGTTGTAAGAGGCTTCTGTGACAACGGTAATTATCCCAGCTGCCTTCTGGTCTCTCCCACATAAGAGAAATAGGAAGGGTCACTGGAATCGCACTTGCTAGTGTCTTCCTGGGTGTCTTATCTGATCGCAATAATATCGGGCAGGGTCTGGATTGCTTAGCTGTAAGAGAGAAAGGCTGGCTTCCCTTCTTTTGGGTGATTAGAAATGAGGAAATACTAATTCGTACTGCTTCGGCCTCAGCTGAACAGCACAGCAGGATCATCGCGCCCTGGGGTGGCTCGGTTTGGGGAAGGCTTGTGCCGACGGCCGTCTGGCTTTGGGGACCGAGCAGTTCAGGGGACAACCGTTTAGCTTGAGTGGTCTCGTCTGTATCGTGCAACTGAGAAATGTAACGCTCCTCTGGGATCGGCTGCAAGGAGCCGGGTCTGTTAAAGCTGCTGCGCGCCGGTCGGGCGAAGACGTTGCTCTCCCGAGGAGCAGTGGAAGGGAGCCGGCGCCGTCAGAGCGGCTGCCCCTTTCCAAACGCACCCCATAATTTATTTTTGGTGGCATCATGTGGAGCCGTTTTGGTGCTTGGCGCTAGCTGGGTTTGAGAAGGGAGAGGGATGAAGAGGATGAAGAGCCTGTTTCTGCGGCTGCTGCGGCGAGCCTGGAGAAGCTGTCCCACACCACTGTGTCCAGTAAGCTCATTAGCTGTTCATCTTCATTCCAGAGCCTCCGAGGAGGAGGCTGCTGATCCCTGTGGCGACTGCCCTTGGCGCTGGATCTCATCTTCAGCACTCTTCTTCCTTCATCAGCCCTTCTCAGAGCAGAGAATAATCCATCACTGCTGCTGTTGTCTTAGCACCGTGCTTAAAACCTCTCCTGCAGCTGCATGCCGGTGAGAACCGGCGTGTTAGAGAAGAAGCAGGACTGCGGGGAGCTTCTCGGCGACGTACGGAATTTTATGGCCTTAACGTACAGCCCTGGACAGAGCTGGAGCCAGATGTGTTTTGAGCCAAGCGTCAGGAGGTGGAAGATGCAAAGCTGGGGGGAGAAGGGGACTTGACAGAGCGTCCCTGTTAAGAAGGGGGTGACACACGGGGTTGTGGTGTGGCTGCCTGTGCCAGGCTCACTGCTGAGGCCACATCTACGCAGCCAGGCTCTGGCACGCCGGGACGGGAGAGCTCTGACCTGTGCTTTGCCACGGTGGTCCTGCCGACAGCACGGGATGGCTGAGGGCACTCCTCTGCTAAAAAGCAAAACCTTAAAGATGATTTGGGTCGTTTCTGGGGTGTTTTCCCTTGGACGGTTTGTTGGCTGGGTCGGCGCTTTGCCTGAAGGAAGCACGAAGGCAGGCTGTGGTCTTAATCTCCAGGAAGCTTATTGCAGGCTTTCTTGCAGTAAATTTCCTTGTCATCTCTTGACAGACAGAGAGTTGGGAAATTTTAAGAAGCCTTTGCAGAAAATGAGTCATTCGTTGTACAAATGGGAGAAGTGAAATGTTCTTCTCTGTGTCTCGGGGATCTTGCTCGTTAGCGTCGGTATGATGGGGAATTCTGCTTTGTCAAACGCATACTTCGTCCTCAGGGTCTCCCGGTGTTTGCCAGTGGTTCCTGTTCTTGCCGAGAACACTTGCCGGTCTGCTCTGCCCCCCGGCAGGTATTTTTTTGTGGCAGGAGCTTGCAGAACCACAGGCTGAAGATCTTTTCTTAAGCATAACCTGCTGTAATTCCCAGAGCTTGGCTTCCCCCGTAGCACCGGGCGAGCCCTAACGGGCGAGTGCCGCTGCTGGCAGCGCCTGCTCTCGCCCCAGGCGTTTCGGGGTGTCTGCCCTTGCACCAGCGTCAGCGGGAAGCAAAGTGTGCCGCTGCCTGGGGTCACAGTCCGGAGTCTTGGCCCAGGCCTGTCGTGGCAGGCGTCCTTGGCATCGTGCTGGACTGCGGCATGGGCAGTTCCCTCTGCTGCGGTGAGACAATTGCCGTCAGAGACGCGGTAACGAGCGCTTTGGGGTGATGCTGTCTTTGGCTCATCTGGCTCAGCCAATGTGAGCCCTTCGGCATGGCGAATATCGAGCTAGGCCGACCTAACCAGCACGAGGACGGCTTCTTCCCAGCTCCCCGGGGGAACGGCAAGAGCCTTTGGGAGCCCCTTTGCAGCCCTGGTCGGATGGGGATGCTCCTGCGTGGGAAGCCTCCACGTTGCCTGGTCCAACAGCACACAGAGCAGCTCCAGCATCACTTCTACCCACCGACTTCAGAGCTTCCCTGCAGTAACCTTCCTGCAGGGCAGCTCGTGTTCCCAGCGAGCCGAAGAGGAGGCCGGGTGCCGAGGGAAGGAGGCTCGCCACCATCCTGCAGTGGAAGGTGACAGAACCTTGTACTCCTGGTTTAACCACATCCACGTTTAGTGGCGGGCAGCTGAGAGAAGCCATTTGTCGGAGGAAGCTGCTCTTTGAGCGCTGCTGAATTCTAGCAGACCTTGCCGGGGCTTGCGTGCGTCTGGCCGTGGTGTCTGTTCTTCCGAGTGCCGAGTCCTTCCTGCACAGAAGAGAGCCGTGTGTGGTCTGCGGTACCTCCTTTGTGGAGGGAAGGATTCCTCGGATCCGGTCGTCGTCCGTCCTTTCTGTAAGGCGTGGAGGGAGCCAGCCCTGCGGTCAGCTCGGGGCCGAGCAGCACTCTCCTGGGACTGCGTGCATAAAGGTAACGCCTGGTTGTTTTTTTTTTCAACTCTAAACAGAGGCAGAAGCTCGAGGAGCAAAGTACCCGAGTGTCCGGTTGTCTCGGGAAGAGTGCGTTGGGCTCTCGCATCCCAGCAGGCCCACGGCCGCATGAACAGCATGTCGTTCAGCTGCGCACCCCTCGCCTTGCCGGCCGCTCCTGCGTCGTGTGATTTACTGTTCCCTTTCTCCCTCGGTTCGCGGTGATGATTCCAGCCTGAGTTGCTATGGCGACTTTATTGCAAAGGTGCGAGTCCTCCGGCCCTGTGTGTCCGTGGTTCCGACTGCTCCTTCCCAGGGCTCGGCACGGCGGAGGGGCGAGCGGGGCTGCTGTTAAAGCAGCAGCTGGTCCGAGGCAGGAGCCCGCTGGGAGCGATGGAGAGCCGGCAGTGGGTGTTACCGTTTGGGTGGGTTTTTTTGTGAATGAAATGATGCATTGCGGTCTGATTGTCGGGAGTCCCGGGTCCTGTCCTTGCCCCCTCCCAGGGTTTGGTGTCGGCTTGGGGAGGAAATGGGTGGCAGCAGAAGTCACTGCGGGCTGAGGAGGGTGTGGGAGAGGAAGAGGAGGAAGCTGGCAGTTGTGTTTGTTCTCGGTCTGCTGGCAGAAGGGAAAGCGCAGTGTCTGAGGTTGGTGCTGATGGGAAGTTAAGCTGAGGACTTAGTTCCAGCCTAGCTGGGGCTGAGTAACTGAAAACCAGCCTTGACTTTTGTGGACTGAGCAGCGAGTCCTGCAGCTGGAGGGGGGCTCTGCCCCTCGCTGCCTGGAGACAGGCTTGAAGTCAGGTGGGAACGGTGATTAAACTCCTCTGCGTGTCCCAGTCCTGTCCTGAAGAGAGAAGGACAGAGGCAGAGGAGGGTCGTTATGGCCAGCCTGGTGTGGGCAAACAGCAGCCTTCTCCGTGTGCCGGGAGCCTCTGCCGTCTCATCCCCATCCACCAAAAGTCATACTTGGGCAGCGGTGCCGCAGGGCTTTGCGGACGGGGTTTGTTCTAGGCGAGTGGAAGGGAGCTGGGATAAGCGAGCAGCACACGAGCATCCGTCAGGTGCAACGAAGTGAATGTCCCTTTCATGTGGCGATGTGGGTGGCTAATAGCTCGATCGGTAACGAGGGCTGCCCTCTGCGGCTCAGTTTGCTGCTTTGGAGGCCGCGCTTCTGCCCTTGAAAGGGGATTTTCCCTCCTCCTGAACTTAACGGCCTCAAAAAAAGCAGCGTACGACTCTGAGCGCTCCTATGGCGCAGAGCCCAGGGGCTGCAGCCAAGGGTGGCTTCGTTATCCCCGGAACAGTACGGGAGCTCTAAGAGGGCTGATAACCGCAGGTAGTGTCTGAGCCGGGGGCAGCCTTCTTGTCCAGCTCCTGGCAAAGCCCAAGTGCTGTCTCTGGCTCGCAAACACCGCCTCGGGCTTTTTAAAACTTGGTTCAGAGCCTGGGATCTCTCACCCAGATTTGTAAGTTGAGATTGAATCTTTCCAGGGCGATTCTTCTAAGTAAAAGTTTGATAAACAATGATCAATGTGAAGCAGTAAGAGCTGTTCTCTTGCGTTTGAGAGCTGGGGATTGAAAGCTAAGTCCCACGCTTGATTTAAGGTGAGCTGGGATGATTCCGTGACCAGCGCTACATCCTCGGCGGTGAGATGATGACAGTCTGTCCCCAGGCTCCAGGAAGGAGTAGCTGATTGCCAGAGGGAGTATTTGCGAGCCTGTTCTCTCCCTGCACGGTCAGGATTCGTGGCTGGGAAAGCAGGCAGCTTTCCTCTTGCACTCCTCTGAAGCATCAGGCAACCGCCGTAGCAGAATGAGAGCGACGCCAGGCTTTCTTGGTGGAGAAATCCCTAAGTGCAAGCGAAGACAAATTGGCGTTGTGACGTGGTTGCCGGTGTTGCTGCAGCGGGGAGAAACTCCTTGGCTGGTTTGTTCCAGGCTGCTTGGGAAGCAGAGGTGAAAAGGGACCTGTCGTCTCCTGTGATCTATGGGCTCTCCGGCAGCCTTGCTGGCTGCTGGGGATGTGGTGGGTGAAGCTCTGCCTGTTCCTGTTTATACAGGGAATGTTTCGGATGCCGAACCCTTCACAGAGACGCTCATGATGACTGCAAGTTTATGGAGACTCGCTACTAAATTTAGCTCTTATCAGGAGGAAAACCAGGCTTGTCTTTTTCCAGATCTGGAAGAGAACCTAACTGGTCTCTTTGTCGAGTCGCGGGTCCAGCATCTTTCCAGGCTGGCCAAGGTACAGTCCGTATCCTCTGGGCAAAAAGCAAGACCCGAGGGCTGGTTAACTGAGCCGGCAGGGAGAGCAGGATATCAGGAACACTTTAGAGGTGGCTTGGGCATGTCTTGGGTCTTCAGAGCTTCCCTGGGGCTCCCGGAGGGCTGGGAACATAATTGTGAGGAGTTCTGGGGATGAGATTGGAGTGATTCAGGGAGCAGAAAGGCAATGTTACTCGCTGTAGCAGGGCTCCCGGGCTGCTTGGGGCAAGGCAGAGCGGTTTGCCTAGAGGCAGCTGAAGCAAATGCACGTCTCCTTTGTGTTTCACGAAGCAGACGTGCTCGCAGGCGCTGTGTCTTGGTGGATGGGAGCGCCGGCTTCGGAGATCGCTCCCCTGTGCTGTCCCAGCCTCCTCACCTGCTGCCTCATCTTGTTCACCTGGAAGTTTCAGTCCAGGTTTAGGGAAATTCACTTATGTTTTGGAGCTGTTGAGGATCAGGAGATGGGCTTTGCCCTGGCAGTAGTGTGTGTTACGTGTTCAGTGTTTTCTTCCCCGATTCTGTGGTCTCTGTGCATTTGCCTTTACTGAATGGGGGAAAAGCTCGCTTTCTGGGCACCATCGTGCCATGTCGTACCACTGAGAAATGGCAAAACCCACAAAACCGGTTCTGAATATCCAAGGGGGTGCATGAGCCTTAAAGAAGTTTTAGTTGTGCCTGAAGTTGTGAAACGTGATTCAGTAATAACCCAAGAAATCATCAATAGGAAAAACGAGTCAAGTTTAGACCGGAGGGAAGCTGGGGCAGCCAGCGCAGTTGAGGCTGGAGGGATTTCCAAGGGAAGTGGGGATGCGATGGAGCCCTGGGCTGGCCCTGGCATGGTGTGGAGGCTCTGTGGTCGCCTCTGCCTTGCTTATGGCTTTTCTGCTTTCTCTTTCGCAGGAACGGGGTGAATGTCGAAGGAGCAACGCACAAGCAAGTGGTGGACCTGATTCGCGCCGGAGAGAAGGAGTTAATTCTGACCGTGCTGTCCGTGCCTCCCCACGAGGCAGATAATCTCGATCCCGGTGACGACTCTTTGGGGCAGTCGTTCTACGACTACACGGAAAAACAGGCTGTGCCCATCTCCATCCCCACGTACAAGCACGTGGAGCAAAACGGCGAGAAGTTTGTGGTTAGTATCGGTCTGGACGGCGTTTTCTGGGTATCTCCGGGTATCTGCGCCCTGGGCTGGCATGCTCCCTGCTGTTAGTGACAGTTGGTGGCAACGCTCTTTTCTCATCTTCAGGACAAGGCGTGTTAATTTATTATTGACTGGTTTTGTCGCTGTCTTATGTAGGCTTGCCCGTCTTCACTCTTACTGTGCTTGGTTATTCTTTTGCAGCTATTTCCTATGTGCTGGGACACTCTTTTTATTAGTATCTCTGCAATAGCTTGATCTCTTGTGAAGATTAAGTAGGAAGTTATTATTTTGTCCCTACAAGCTTTTGTATTTGTGCCTCCTGCTTCACACCGAGTGTTAAGGGCATCCAGGATAGATGTAAAAGCAAAGGGAACAGATGTCTTGGAGCATAGCTCCCCATCTCGAGAACTACTTTTCCCTTCCGTCTCCCTTTTCCCTTTAGGGGGAAGTAGCTGTAAAACAATCTTTTTTTCTTTGGGTTCCCTGCCTCTTCTTTCGCATTTACTGGGGAGGCTGGCAGTCATTTTCCTGGACATGGAGGCATCCTCTGAGGCTTACGGTGGATTCTGGCTCATCAGGGATGGCTGGCTGCGGCTGGTAAGGAAATGTCTGGAGAGGGACCCAGAACCGGGTTGGATAAAGCCACTCATCTGCAGAACTGTTTCTTCTTGCAGCCTTCGGAGTGTATTTAATCTCCTCACTCAGCCTGACCTTGCTTAGCTCCAGCTTCCTTGCCTGGCTGTGTCGTGTTCGCAGATGCTCAGCTTGCAAACTCTCTCGATCGGCCCGTCCTCCGTTTTTTTTTCTGCCGGCCTCGGGTCTGAGCTGCGGCGAGGATCAGCAGAGCCTGCACTGAACCCCGGCTGGCTCTGGGTTTTGGTCGGCGACTGGTAGAGACAGAAGCACGCACAAGGGCAGTCATTCTTCCCCCTGCAAAAAGCTGCTTATTGTTAGGAGCACGGACCTACCCGCGTCCAGATCATTTTCTTCTGCTCCATGTGCTGACTTCGTTTTTCCGGAGCCAGAGACCTGCGTGGCCATTGGTGGGGGTGGATGGTTTAGTTACGCCGCTGCTTTCACTCGTGGCTGGAAGCTCGGCTCGCAAGAAGACCGCGGCTCCTGTGCAAAACGTGTCACTTCACTTCAACAGGTCACCCTGGCGCCGGTCTCCAAAGGGGACAGATGGGATCCTTGAGGATCCGCAGCCTCATGGGGAGCGCGTGCTCTCCCCACGGGATGCTGTCAGATAAGGCGTGGGACCCGAGAAGAAGGGACCCAGAGACCAGAGGTTTTTAAAGCAGCGCAGTGCAGGGGGTCGAAGGGAACCTCCTCCGAATCGTTCAGATCCCCAGGCCCCCCGTCCTGGCGCCTTCTCCCCAGGCGATGCTGGAAGGGTTGAAGGCATGCTGCTTTATAAGGAAGAAGCTGTTGGGTTTGTTGGAGCGCTTTCCCCTGGTGCAGGTTGTCAGGCAGGTATCTGGAGCATGGACACGGAGGGCGAGCGAGCTGGGGCTGCTCCGGGCCCTCACCAGGGGAGCAGGTTGGGGTTCTGAGGCTTCCAACGCAGCTGAAGCCATCCTCCATCTGCAGCATGTGCCTCTCGCCAGACTCCACCAGCCCTTCGGCTTCGGGAGGACGGCGGAGGGCGACGCTCCTCTCCTCGAGAGGAAAGGTTGTGGTTGCAAACCTGTCCCTGTTGCAATGTTAAAAAGCGTGAACCTGCTCTCTTCCCCGCTGCATCCCTTTCCTCACGTGAAGCTAATTAAGGTAACGCTGCTGTTTGGGACCTCCTTATCACCAAGGCATGTTAGCAGTGCCTAGATAAGAGCTTGTTTAACTTGCCTGTGAGACTGAGCAGCTTGGCTTTAAAAATGGAGGCGGCTGGTTAATGAACGGGAAGGGAATTCCCTGAAGAGCATCGCAGTGTCCTGCAACCGTAACTCTGCTCCGGTTTTCCCCTATTTGGGAGCAGAGTCCTATTTCCTTAGTGGTGTCCAGGATGAAACTGGAAAAGTGCATGTGTCGTGAAGAAACCGTTAACTCGGAGTGTTCCTGAAAGATTTCGTGCTGCCTCTCCCCTGGGATGTGCCTAGGGCTGTCTCCAAACACAAACCAAGCTCCTGCTCGGTGCGGGACCTCTCCGCGTCTCAGGGGGGGTAGCCGTGACCAGAATCCAAAGCTCTGGGGCTTTGGCTGCAACGTGAATCTCGGTTCTGCAACAAGCTGGAGATACAGCATCGAGCACATCTGGAAGACGACGAGGCTCTTGTTGCCGAAAACCGCTGATGCTGTCGGCACGGTATTGCTGTGGCATCCGTCTGGTGGTGGCTTGGTGCGTCTTGGGGACCCTCCTGTGTGCAGGACGTGGTCCTGGTGAACGCCGCGACAGCTGCATCACAGCTCGGGGCCTTTTGTAAAAGGTTTGGGCGTTTTTCCTCTCCTCTTGGAGTAGAAAGGCACCTTGAACTTGTGCCGATCCTGCTGCTGTCAGCTGGAGGTAGTAGTCGGGACATCCCCCAGCTCCAGGGATACACAGTGGTGTATTTAACTATTCCTACCAGTCTCTCATTCTAGCTCAGACCCTCCTAATTGAGTCTTGCGCTACCTGTGGGGCTGGGAGGGCAGAGTTTGGGTTTGGAAATCTTTCCTCCCCGCAGCGAGCCTCTTCTCTACTCGCAGGTCTACAACGTTTACATGGCGGGCCGCCAGCTCTGCTCGAAGCGGTACCGGGAGTTTGCCATCCTGCACCAGAACCTGAAACGGGAATTTGCCAACTTCACTTTTCCACGGCTCCCGGGGAAGTGGCCGTTCTCTCTGTCGGAGCAGCAGCTGGACGCCCGGCGGCGAGGGCTGGAAGAGTACCTGGAGAAAGGTACCGAGCCGGGAGCAGAGCCCAGGCAGCCCTGCGCCGCCTTCCTCACGAGCAGGGAAACAAATCCTGCCACGGGTGGTCCCAGACTTCACGGGGATTTGTTTATCTGGGAGGGAAAGCAGCTCGTTTGTAGCTGGATTGGATTTTACAGCTGAAGTGGGGAGAGGGAGCTCAGACTCGCCACGGCTTAATGGTGCGTGTGTTACCAGCTTGCAGCGCGCTTCCAACAGCAAAATGTATAATTAGTTTTTTAACGCACAAGAAGCTTTTATTTATAGTGTCATGTTGCTCACCAGTAATCTGGGAGATGAGGGGAACTTCGGAGCGGGGAGAAAGTCGTGTTCGAGGCCTTTCTCGTCAGGGAGCTCGGCTCAAGCAGCAGTGACCCGAGCCTGCCCCTGGCTGAACGCTTGGGACCTTTGCAATCAGAGCTGTAACACCTGTGGCAGGAGATTCCGTTAGGTCGAGCTCAGGTGATGGGAAAGTGGATGCAAAACCTGCTCCCTGTATCCAAGTGCCTGGCTAAAAGACCCGACCCCACGTTTTGCAGTGGATAGGCTGTAGGTGGGATTCGGGGAGCAATCACCCCTCGTTCCTGGGATGCTGTGTTATTTTCTTAGTTGCCTGGAAGCAGCTCAGTTAATTTGTGTGAGCTTAACGGCCTCTTCCCTTACCCAGCACCTGGGAGTGAAGCCTCTTCTTCCCCAAAGGTGGACGTGGGTCAGGTTTTTCCTCAGCTCGACCTTGCCCAGCTCCTTCGTCGTCATCCTCAGTTACCAGCTGGCCAGAGGAAGGGCAGACTGGCTGCATCTTGGAGGCAATACGATACAGTTTGGGTCCAAATTATTTGCTGAACTTGGCCTAAATTCCTGAATAGTTTCAGTCCCTCTGGAATAATGTGGGGTTTGGGGGTTTTTTTGAGGCAAAAGTACAACTTATGAAATTTTTGCCCACTTTTAAGTATAGTCTAAACCTCCTGTGGACTGTGTGCCTGGATTTCACCCGCAGGGAGTATCCCGGGGAGTTACTCAACACCGCTGTTACTTGCTGTTGTAGGGGCTTCAGGCTGGATCAGGCTTCGGGCCAGGACACCTGATACAGCCCGGAAAGCACTCGCTTTGAGAAGGTTTTTCCGGGCAGGAGCTCCCACCCTTGTTTCACGCCGCCCGCAGAACAGACGGTTGTTATTTCTGTGTCGCCTTTGGGCCAGTCCCAGGAGGGGAGGGCTCCCCCTTTCCCCAGGCACCCCACTAACCTGCGTTCTCTGTCCTGCAGTGTGTTCAATACGTGTCATTGGGGAGAGCGACATCATGCAGGAGTTCCTGTCGGAGTCGGACGAGGTAGGCACACAGGCGACAGCGCCAAAGCTCTGCCGTGACCCCCCCGTTACAGAGGCCATAAGTGCCTGGTAGAACTGGATCCGAGAGCAGAGATGTTCCCTGCCAAAGCCTCGGGGGTTGAATAGAAAGCCATGGCAAAAAGTCAAGGTGCAGGTTGCTGTCTGCTGTCGCACAGAGGAATCCTCTTCTCCGTAGCAGTAGCTATGAGCAGCTTTGGTGCCGCTCTCGGAGGCGTGCACAGAGCAGAACCGGCCATGTTGCGTACCCTGGCTCTGGCAAGGGAACACCCAGCAGAGAAAACGCATTTGCTGGCTCTCCTGCTGGTTTCTGTGCTGGTGGCAGCCCAGGTAGCTTTGCATTTGTGAGCTGTTTGTAGCTGTCAGCCTCTGGCCACTGTCTGACTTGCTTCTCCCAAGGTTTGAGCTGCAGGCAGCAGCACTGAGTTGCTATTTGCCCTTCAGCTGCTGCTCTTTTCCCAACCTTTCCATGGTGCGTTAAGTTGCCGTGTCCCAGAGCTTTCTCTCGCTCTTCGCTGGCAAACCCGTGAATGGAAAATCCTGCCCCGCCGTGGTCTGAAGCGGTTTGCTCAGCTTCCTGTCTCGGAGCAGAGCTCACATCTTCCTTCTCTCAGAATTCCTCTGGTGCAGACTGGAATGGGATTTGTGAGGCTTGCAGAGCAGGCGGTTGTTAAAAGTGACCATCTTAATTAGCCAGTGCAAGGCAATAAACAGAGCTTGAGGCTTGGTTCATGTGACGCTGATTTCTGTCCTCTCTCCTTCCCTCCTTCAGAATTACAACGGCGTCTCGGACGTGGAGCTCCGCGTCGCGTTGCCAGATATAACAACAGTGACCGTCAGAGTCAAAAAGAACAGCACTACAGACCAGGTGTACCAGGTGGGCTGCTGCTTTTTTTGCCTTGATGGAAGATTAACGCGATTCGGACATTCACCGAGACCCCATGGGCACCCACTTGCTCCTCTCGAGTGCAGGGGGCATCGGTGACGCCGCTTTGCTGTAGCAGAGAGGACGGGGACGCTAGAGAACTCTAACCTTACGCTGTGCCAAAGCAGCGCTTTGGCTGGCAGGCTCAGCTGCAAGGCCAGAGTCATCACTGAATTAATTGTCGCTGATAATATCGTAAAGCTGGCGGATGGCTCTGAGCGCCAGGCAGATTGTGTGTTACGGCTTGCGGAGGCTGCAGTGGGGGGGTTGGATCCAAGAGCTGCCGGAAGCCAATGCGCAAGTCTCGCTGTGGCTGCGTGGCGGGACGGCGAGTGGAATATTAAGGGTAGTGACCCTTTTGGGGAATCCTCTGGCCACGCTACAGGTTTGCGAGCAGCCGGAGGCCCAGGGCTTTAAGTGGAAAACTAAGTATGCCTGACTTCAGGAGGAAAAGTGGAATTCGATGAATTAGGAGGAGTAAGATGATGCGGGGAAGACCCCTTTTTGAAAGGGGCACTAGAAACATTGCTGCAAGCGAGGGAGCCGGGGGGTTGCGGAAGGGCAGGCTCTGGGGAGCTCCAGCCCTGTGCAGCAGAGTCCCGCGGGTGGGATTCGCCGTGCCTTCGTGTGGTTGAACTTCCCTAGTTTTGGCTGTGGTAGTGGCGTGCAGGACTGGAGCGTTGCTGGAGAAAACCCCCAGGAGAGGTGTACACCCTCTTCTGTTAGGAACTGAAGCTGGAGGCTTCGCAGGAAAAGATGAGCTGATTGTCAGCCACGGCGGCACTTAACTGAGAGCAGTTTACAGGGAGGCGAAAGCAGCAGAGTCTAAGCCCTTCCTTAAGAAAACATCTGGCTTTACTGGAAGAGTAAAATTCAGGTTTTCCACGGTGACTAACCCCTCGGGTTAGGGAACACTTGGGAATAACCTGTATGAAGCCAGCCTTGCCCCGGAGCGGGACGGCCAGCTGCTGGCTCCTGTTTTGCTCACCCCGTTTTCCCGTTCGGTTGCTCTTTAGGCTGTGGCTGCGAAAGTCGGAATGGACAGTATTACCGCCAACTACTTCGCCTTGTTTGAAGTGATCAATCATTCCTTTGGTAAGTCTTTTAATCCCCCCGGTGCTGACGAGCAACCGAGGAGAGAGCTCTGCAGCGCTCGCAGAGCCCAGTGGCACTCTCATTTAGGGCTTATCTCACAAAATCAGGAGCCCCGGGAGGAATCAGGCAGGCGCAGCAGGCTCTGAGAGCGAGGAGCCCTCAAAGTTCAATGGCTTTTTTTTTTTTTTGCTGCCGCTTGACTTTCCCTTTCTTAAGCAGTTCAAGGAGATGAGCTTTTTGTTAAACCCAGAGACGCGTTTTACTTTAGTTCAAAGGGTCCAGCGAGCTTAGAAAAAGCGGGCAGTGTCACTGCAAGGCGGCGGTCTCTGGAGAGGGGGGCACAGCACCGGCCTGGGACCGAACGAAGGTGCCGGGAGGTGGATTGAGGGCACCCACGGTCTGTACACACGTAGGTGTGGGCGACATCCAGGTCCTGGGGGCGTGTGCGCTGCGGGCTGCATCTTAGCTTCTCATCTCTCCTCCCGCGGTTAAATCCTGATGGTATTTGAGGCTTGTGGGATTCTGGGCGATTGTTTTGGCACTTAAGTAATTGCCATCCTTCCAGCGTAGCACGTGCTGGGGTCTCCTGGCTGCTCTTCAGATGCCTGGCCACAGCAATCTCTGATTTCGCCCAGCTTCGCCGTGGGTTTGCTGAAGCTGTAGAGAGGCCAAAATGTCATGGTCACACCACAAAATGGGTGTAGCAGTTGGTTTGTGTTTTATTTTTCCCTGTGCTGGGTTTTAAGCCAAGCATGTTTCTCGTTCCCATGAACGAACCTTCATTTCTGGACTGCCATCTCTCTGTGCCTCAGACTCCTCCTGCTGTTATGGCAAACTGCGCCTTGTAGGAAGAGGTTTCTGGGGCTGTTCCTCGTGCTCACAAGACTCTGGCTGAACAGCCGGGGCAATTTTTAGCTACTTAAAGCCCTCCTAAAACGACTCATCTCGCAGAACAGGCTAGGTTTGCCTTCCTTTGCTGACCATGGGGCAGCCAGCATCATCAGTCTCCTGTACAACTGCTGGCATCGCAGAACTGCCTCTGCCACCCAGTTTGCGGTCATGTTTTGAGGGTTACCGGGTGCTGGCGTGTCAGAGCGGGGCCCGGCCGCCGTGGGGGAAGGCTAGGGCTGGGGGGTTGACGTGCAGGGAGCCTCGAGTGGGAATTCCTGCTCTTGGGAGGTGGGACGCTGCAGCATGCTGGCACGGACTGCTGCAGGAAGCTTTTACGGTGCCAGACTCTAACTGGAGCTATTAATTCCTCGTTCCTGTGAGTGGTGCGCTTCTCAAACTGTGCTGGGAAGTAAAAACTCCAGTTAACCTTTATGGCTTGTGCTTTCTGAACGCTCGCGGTGAACGTCCACGTTTATTCCTGTCTGGATAGACTCCATTTAATTTCTCTGGAAACCATAAGCTCCCTCTGCAGTGGGATAGTGACCGTGTCTCTGCCTGACGAAGGAGACGTACTGGCACTCGCCTCTTTTTGTCCGTCATAGCTGGGTAAAACACATTTGAATACAGTAAACATCTCGACAGGGGCTCGCTGACGGCTCAGCTGCTCCAGCTTGGCTGAGCAGTGCAGCAGGTTTTGTCCAGGCTCTGGTAGCAGCCTGCCAGGCCAGGGGGGACCTTCTGTGGTCCCCCCAGGCTGTGGGGACAGTGCACAGGGCCAGGACAGCGTGGTCCTGAGGCTCAGCAGGGCAGACATCCCTTGCGCTGCAGGGATGAAGTCAGGCTGTTGTGCGATGCTCGAGGGCGGCCGAGGGGGGTCCAGTCTCGCGCAGATTCCTGCCTGTGCGCTGGAGGCGATTGTGAGGGACCGGAGCGGGCTGGCGCTATGGAAGTAGGCATTGAAAAAAGCCAGATTCGGTCTGGGAGGAGAAGAAAGGGCCTTGGAGCAGAGCTGGGTCCTGATCCCGGCTGGCTCAGCTAAAGGGCACCGCCGAGGGATGGCAGCCAGGCTCTAGTCGCAGATGCTGATGATGCTGCATGTGGCACTGCGCTTACCTCCGTCTCCTGCGCTTTTTCCAGTGCGTAAACTGGCGCCCAACGAATTCCCCCACAAACTCTACGTGCAGAACTACACCTCGGCAGTGCCGGGAACGTGCCTGACCATCCGGAAATGGCTCTTCACTACAGAGGAGGAGGTTCTTCTCAATGACAATGACCTGGCAGTCACTTACTTCTTCCATCAGGTAGGTGCCCAAGAGCTGTAACCTCTTACTGGCGATAAGGCAACGCAAGTGCCTGGCTCCCAGAGCAAACACCGCTGTCCTTTGGCATACTGGTGACAGTGAAATCGAGGGCCAGCCCTGCCTGGGTAGCTCCAAGGAGTTGGGTGAATCGGTGGTGCCGCGGTGAACTTGTGGCCGAGTCGCTATCGGACCAGGAGGGAGGACTCCTGCCGCTCTCGCTGTGGAAGTCGCCTTCCCAGAGCGAGCAGAAAGGATCCCAGGAGGCAGCTCCTTGGGTAGGATACGTTGTCTGTGAAGATGTCTGTGACCAGCTGGGGAAGAGCCGTCTCCCTGCTCGCCCTAAGCAAGGGGGGTGTTTCTTCCTGTGATTTCACTTCGTGCCCGTCCTCCAGCATGATTTGAGTCCGAGGAGGGCGGTGTTCCCCACTGCCTGTATAAAGCCAGTCTGGGGTGACCAGCTCAGAGGTAGATAACTGCTCAGGACGATGAATCCTGCTTTGTCTCAGCTACCCAAAATGCTGTCCCAACGCTCTCTGAACTGGGCCCGTACCAGCCTTTGGTACGAATGGAAATAAAACCAGTAGCTGTCAAGTTCTTTGGACTCCTGGACTGGCTCTGTGCTGGCCAGCGGTTTTACAAGCCGCTGTGTGACAGGGGCAGGAGTCAGAGGAATTTGGGTGGCCTCGGGGCCAGCCAGGCAAGGCAAGGCACTGTGCCTCAGTGAAGAGATTCTCTAGTCTGACCTCCTGCGTTTCCTTTCGCTTTTTCTGTTGAGGCTGTTGATGATGTCAAGAAAGGCTACATCAAAGCAGAGGAGAAGTCCTACCAGTTACAGAAGCTGTGTGAGCAGAGAAAGATGGTCATGGTGAGTTATCCTACTTGTCCTGTTCGCTTTCCTTCCTGTCTGCTGTGCTGCGTCTGGGAAGGAGGCGCTGGCACAGGCTGCCCAGAGAAGTCGTGGATGCCCCATCCCTGGGAGTGTTCGGGGTCACATTGGACGGGCCTTTGGGCAGCCTGGTCTGGTGAAAGATGTCCCCACGGCAGTTGGACTAGATGATCTTCAGAGGGCCCTTCCAGCCCAAACCGTTCTGTGATCGTACGCACGCAGCCTTGAAAAACACATCTTTCTTGGAAAGCAGTAACCACGGAGAGCTGTGGGGAGGGCAGGGCGTGCAGACACGCAGGAACACTGGGCGCAGGGCTGGGCTGTGCCCGAGGGTCGGCCGCTGCACGAGCCAAAGCCGCCCCTTGTGCCGGGCACGTTTGAACAGCGGCTCATCCTTGGCAAGATCACTCATTGACTCGGCTCCAAACGAGGCAGCGATAAAACCTCCTGGGTTATTGCCGGCGTTGAAAGGTTGAGGTGCTTAACATGTGGTGTAGCAATCCTTCACCTGCAGCCCTTTGGGGACAGCTCTTTCTTCCTCCTAATCGAGAGGCAAAGGTCTCTTTCTGCCTCAGACTGCCACTGAGATGGTGGTGCTGGGCTAGCCAAGGGAGAGGGGGGTCCTGGCCCACTCCTGATGCGAGTTGCTGCCCCCTCAGTGCCTCAGTTTCTTCTGCGTCCGGCAGAGTCTTTCCCAGATTACAAATCCTGTGTCAGAGCTCGCAGGGATTTTCTGCCTCTTATCGCTCTGCCCAGCAAATGCTCGGGGGCTCGGTCTGACGTGGGGGAGCAAAGGGGGTGCCCTGAGCTCATCTGCCAGGCGCAGGCTTGGCTGGAACATCAAACAGCAGAATCTGACTTGTAAATACCTCCCTGGGGGGCCGCTCTACGGAGCGAACACGGGCTGCCCTTTCGACTTCGTCATTGTCTGCGTTCTCGTGGCTGGCGTGGCTGCTCTCGAAGAGCAACGGCCTTGGGAGCCCCTTGGGAGCCCCTTCTCCGCTTGGCTGGTCTTGGTCGGGCCTCTCCTCAAAGCCCCTTTGACTGCAGAAGGGTCACCTCAGCTCCTAAGCCAAGAAGGTTAATTATTCACTAATGATAAGGATCAGTAAATAGACGCTTCCTCCTGTGGGTTGTCTCATGGCTCTTTTGTTTCTGCTCCTCTCGCTGGCTTTCTAGTGACCAAAGAAAGATCGGAATCTTTGGAAAGGTTATATCCCAGCATATACATATATACGTGTGGGTCTATACACGCACAGAGGCATACACCCGGTGCAGCAGGGCCCTGCTCTAGCAGGAGGTCAAGACGACGCCGTCTGGCCCCAGACAGCCCCTGAATTCAAAGTGCTTCATCCTCTGCCTCCCCCACGTTATTAAGGGTCCTGCCTGAAGCGCAGCACCTGAGGATTTGGCCCCATTGGTCTGGACGTGGCTCGTTCCTTGGTTAAAACGTCACTTCAGACTTCGTTGTTCTGCCCTGCGTAGACCTTTCTCGTGCAATGAAGGGTTGTGGGGCTCCGGAGCACTGGCTCCCGTCTCTCCCATGTCCCAAGCTGTGGCTGAGCTCCTAGCGCATTGCCTCACATGCTGCTTTGTCCGGGCTACACTGAGAAAGAAAGAGCGAGCCAAAATACCTCTTGGGACCTTTCCGTGAGTTGTAGCATTTGCATCGAAGGAGCCTGAGAAACCCGCATCCTGTGTCTGCCTGGCAGCTTCTTTTTCTGGTTGCGTCTTCAGCCTCTCACCGTCAGGAGGACGGCTCTGGCGAGAGCGGTGCTTTTGGTCCCGGGGCTGTTTGCTCGGATCCGTCCCCTTCCCGCGGGAACATGGTTGCTCTAATCGGCGGCTCTGGCTGCACCAGCTCTCCTGGAAAAGGGTTTTGGCGCTGGAGGCTGCGAGGAGCTCTGTGTGTCTCTGTACCTGGATGGCTCCGTGTTTTGGGGAGGGGAGCTGGGCAGCCGGAGGGGTCTCCTTCCCTTCCCTAGCACAGCCCTGCTGCCTGTGGGTTTTTTGGGTTCCTTTGGGGGGATCCAGCCTCCCTGGGCTGGGGTGAAGCCGGGGATTTCCAAGGGGGCAATTAGCACCAAGGGGGCGTGCGAGAGGCGGAGGTGGGGAGGGGAAGCAGGAGGGTGCAGGAGTCCCCTTCCCTTCCTCCCAGCAAGCTAACGCCTGTGCCTTTCTCTCCGCAGTATTTAAACATGTTACGGACATGCGAGGGTTACAACGAGATCATCTTCCCCCATTGCTCCTGTGACTCTCGGCGGAAGGGACATGTGATTACAGCCATCAGCATTAAGCACTTTAAACTCCACGCCTGCACAGAGGAGGGCCAGCTGGAGGTGAGGGGCTTCTGCCGCAGGGCCCGGGGCGCTGGGCTCAGCCCCCTCGGCTTTGCTATAGGGAGAGAGCACCAGCCCCGCGTCCCCCAAGCTGTGGGACTGCTGCCGAGAGGTCTCCGAAGGGATTTTGGGAGCGCGGGGATCTCTCTGTGGGTGTTGGCGTGTGTTTCCATCACTGGGTCCTCAGCTCGTAGCTGTCTCTGCAGCAAGGCTGTGCGAGGCATCCTCATCCCCCCTTTGCTCTTGCCGCCCGACCCGTCCCAAACCTCCCCTTCGGGGAGTCTGCCAGGCTCTGCCCTCACCCGGGTTTCGTCGTCTCCAGAACCAGGTAATAGCGTTCGAATGGGACGAAATGCAGCGGTGGGACACGGACGAAGAGGGAATGGCCTTTTGTTTTGAGTATGCACGAGGAGAGAAGAAACCCCGATGGGTTAAAATCTTCACCCCCTACGTAAGTACCCCCTGCTCTTCGCAGATTTGCTAAGGAAAAGCCCAGAGCTTGCTTGTTTTTCTCCTGGAAGCTGGAGGAGCACCCTGTGCTCCAGGTTTTGGGGCGGGAGGTGATGCAGGGGCTGGTGGCCGCCAGGAGGAGCCCGCAGCACGGGGAGCTCTGGGCTGCCGGCTGCTCTGAGGGATGCCTGCTCTCTCTTTGCAGTTCAACTACATGCACGAGTGCTTCGAACGGGTTTTCTGCGAGCTCAAGTGGAGGAAGGAGGTAAGAGCCCGTCACTGCAGGGAAGTGGCTTCGCAGGAGGCTTGTAGCGGCAAGCGTTTCTGCCTGGTCCTCAACTGCAGCTTGTACGAGGGGCAGTCGGAGGCTCAGGGGAGTGATACCGGGTCTCCAGGGAGCGCAGAGGTAGACCAGCTGGCTTTCAAAGGCCTGTGCTCTGTAGGTGGAGGGTGTTTCACGCTGCAGCCGGAGCAAGGAGCTCCCGGCACTGGGAAAGCCTCACGCCAGCGTGACCACCCAGGGTAACCAGTTCCCTCAACTGCAGCTTGTACGAGGGGCAGTCGGAGGCTCAGGGGAGTGATACCGGGTCTCCAGGGAGCGCAGAGGTAGACCAGCTGGCTTTCAAAGGCCTGTGCTCTGTAGGTGGAGGGTGTTTCACGCTGCAGCCGGAGCAAGGAGCTCCCGGCACTGGGAAAGCCGCACGCCAGCGTGACCACCCAGGGTAACCAGTTCCCAGGCTGAGCGGCTGCGGCCGGTTGCTCTCCCGTGTCTGCTGTCGGATGCAGATGGCAAAACGTCCGTCCTCCGGAGAGATTATGCAGGTTGCTGAATTATTCAGAAAGGGTTGTGAGAGCCTCTGGCAAAAAGCTGCTGAGATGTACAGAGAGGGTTTGGGGTTTTTTTTCTTTGTGTTTTTGGGGTTTTTTTATTCCCAGCCTGAGGTGCCTGCTCAGGCTTCTGTGGAGGCTGCGGTTAGACCTGGCTCTGAGCCCTGGGTGGGGAGATGCATGCGAGCCTTTTTTTGAGCCAGCCTGCCCTGCCTTCTTCATCCCCACCGCGCTTCCCCGGTCCTCTCCTCCCCCTTGAGGGAGATGTTTTATCACCTCGCGTCCATCTGCTGCTGCTCCTCCTTGGGGTTGCCGCACATCTGTCGTCCCGGGGGACTGCTCCCGTCCGCCTCGTGTGCGCGGAG